TCACTGCATCGTTCTACTAGTTTAGGGTATTCTTTTCCAATTAAGAAGTTTTCTATTTCCTGCTAGAAAAAAAAAAGTAAGTCTGTACCTCATCTATTAAAGACATAACTCTTATTGGTGTGTTCTGTCTGAACTGGCAAATGCCAACATGGAAAAGGCAGCTCCTGTATCATCATTAATATACCACCTCATAATTTCCTCTTGAAACATGCTTGAGTGATTTTTTTATCAATTAAAAATTAAAACTCCTAGATTTATTTATTTTCTTCATGAAAATACAGCAGAGAGAATGGGAAACATAAAAAATATTAACTCCAAATAATGGTATGGTCTTAATTCCTGTGTGATTCTAAAATAAGATAGGAGACCAGGAGCTCATAAGGATTCTTTCTAAAAACTGAGACTTATTTAACAAAACTTTGCTATTGTTCAGTTAAAAGCGTCATGCCATCTAGGAGTTTCCTTATTCTCCTAAAATTCTGAATTATTTGAAGTAATGAAAAAAACCCAATCCTCTCTCTTTATTAAATTTTTGTATCTAATTACTCTAAATAGGCCAAGGAGGAAGATAGATTTAAACTTCCCTAAATTTCTAAATGAGTAGATCTGGGCAAAGCCCTATCTCTCATCTTCTAAGAGTTACGTTTCTTTCTTTTTTTATTATTTTTTTCTGATGTGGTGTTTTAAACCCATGTGTAGGTGTGCAATCTATTTCACCTATGAAACATAAAGAATCATGTGAAACAGCTCTCTACCTTTATGAGACTAAGACATTTTGTAATACAGTCAAGAACTTTATTTTCTTCATGGAGGATTTTAAAGCTCATTTTCTAATTCAATTTGGGAAATTATATATAAATTGATGATACTCTGGTAGATCACTACAACAATTTCTTTTTGTAAAAAACAACTGAACAAGAAAAAAGAACTATTTCCATAACAAACCTATTCCTAAAAAATTTAGTATTACAGAAGTATTAATTTTTGTTTAGCTGCTTCAGACCCTCATTTTAATGCTCATTTCATCACACTTTGATGTTAGGCCATTTAAGAAACTTTATATAGAAGGTTGCATGGTTTTTAGCAATTACAGGTATACCCATGGTTTTTAGAGCCTGACATGAAGACTTCATTATTTCCTTTCTGATACTGCAGCATCTAAGAAGTGAAAACTCTAGGCCATTCATCAATGTTGTCTTATTTTAGGAATAAGCAATCCCAAATAATATCCACCATTTTTGCTGTTTCCATCCCATTCTCATCGCTGTCAGAATTATTCTTACCTTCTGCTCCTTTCAATTTTTAAACCCTCTCCTCTCTGTATTCATACAGATTCAATTTTGAACGTCTAAGTTGGTATAAAAATGTAATAAAATTGTTTAGTTCAAAGATTGCTCTGACTGTCATCAGGATTATCTGCAAATCAAGTTTTCCACAAATTTGACTATATCACTGACAAGAACTCCTCAAAAATCTTTTTATAACTCTAATCTGATTTGCTTTTTCATTATGAACTGTATAAACTATTCAGCAACGTGGATCTGTTATACAGCTATACACATGTATAGAATCCAGCTCCTTAACTTAAACAAGCACTATTGATTTTTGTCCAGAAAAAGCCTAACAAATTCTGTGGACAAATCTACTCTCTGCAGTGCAGAAATGGTACACCACTTACAATTTGAGAAGTCAGGCTCTGATAGCGTTGATTAGTTGTTCTTTTCTGTTACAAAGGGTAGACAGAAACCTGCAGAACAGGTTGTGTGAGCTTGTTTCACACAAGGCTTTGTTTCATTACAATTTTCAGAATTAATCAGAAACTTGAAACTTTTACTGAGAAAGGCCAGCTCCAGTATTTGATCTTCTCAGTCTTGATTGTGGAGGGTGCTAAGCATTACAACTGTTATCACACACAAAGTCGTTGACGGTGGTTGAAGTACTGAACACTTTCCATAGGTTTAGTATATCCTACCAGGTCTTCTAAATTTTATTTTGATACTTTGTCTGTTTTAAAATCATCATTGTATGCTGTTATGTCACTATTTAAAACCTGTCAGTGTTGGTTCTGAGAAGTTAATTCAAAGAAGTCAAAGCTGCCTTGCCAAGTTTGAGTTTTCTGTTCCAAGTTCATAATTTTTGTTAAAAAAACTTTGCCAGACAAGATGTAATACCCAATATCTAGGTATTTAAACAGAATGGAACAAAGTTTCATCTCCGTATATTCTAAAATCAGGAGAGACTGGTAAAATCATGTTGTTCTGCTTTCATTATGACACACTACAGTGAGGAAATAAGTTGCTTAAATTGTTTATTGTTCTGCTAAGATCACTATGTGAACACAGTTAATTTTCAGAAACATCTGAGGAGCAGCTACTATTATACTTATTTCACAAGTAGTGAAACTGAGTCAGAGAAAGGTTCTTATGGCTTAGTGGCTTAGGCATGACTACGTATAAATTAATAACAGTGATAAGATTAAGGCTGAAGGATTAGTAACTATCAGTGTTGACCCAGTTCACCGGAATACACTAACAGGGCACATTTTTTCCACATTGCAGAAATTCTTTTTGCAAACTGCAGTGCTGGGCAACCCTGTAATTATGCACAGAGCACTTTAGGGGAAGAAGAAAAAAAAAAAAAACAAACAAAAAACAAAAACATTTTTGGCTCAACAGGTTTATATGGAACTTCAGAAACTTACTCTCACTACCAATAATATTACTTCAAACAGCCATCTGCTCAGGCCCTGATTCTCTCTTAGGCCACTTTGTGCTGCTTGGACAGTAGTAGCCCAAATAATCAAGCCCTTGTAGTATAGTGTAAGGACTAGTTCTTATAGCAGCCTCAGAAACCCTTACTAAATTCAGTGAGGCTTTGTACTAGCGCATAGATTAATTCATGTGGAACTAATTGCAGGACTGTAGCCTAAGTAAGAAACTGGTCTAGCTCTATTTGCTTGTTATCCAGTTGTCAAAATGTAGTGCTCATTAACTGCAGAAACAAAGGGTCCAGATGGATTCTTTATATCTGAGAAATGTGTTTCCCATATGAAAAGAAAATAATGAGTAACATTGCAGTGGAATTTAAAACCTTATTGAAAAGAAGTGAAACTCTGAGGAAGTTTTAATTGAGAATAATTCAGAGGCCCTTCCTGTATGAATTTTATGATCTGCTTTTACCTAAAAAATTAAATTATGCAAAATGCACTTTGACTACCTGAGTCTATAGAACATGAATGAGACTAAAACAAATGCCTTCTAGCCCCACTGCTCTCTTCTGTAGTGTGAACTCCATGATTGCTTCCAATTGTGCTCTAATCACTTTTGTCCCATTCTGTAACACTGAGATTTTTCTGTCTTACACAAGACAATTTTGGACTCCTCTAACTTAACCAACCTGCTGAAGTCCCTAACAGCATGATCAGACAGACAGGGGTCACAAACGTGAGAGTTATAGCTTGTTGCTTACATCAGCAGATGGCAATAAGCTAGTGTAGGAGGTATAACAGCATATTTTAGCTAGTAAAATTTGGCATGAAGATACTGTCTACTGTATGGATGTACCAATCTAAACTCTGATTTAAAAAAAAAAAAAAACAAAAAAACAAAAAAAACAAAAAACTGCAAAGTGATTAAGAATTAGAATTAACAAAATGTTCAATGTTACAGAATTTTCAGGATGTACCCAAGTTCTAACATAAGTAAGGGTTCTAACAGAATTGAGCTTTAATGCCCTGCTGTCTAACATCACTGAGGATGCAGTTTCATGAAAAGTTTTAAGTCTGATTATCTGCCAAAAAAGGCAGTCCCACTCTTCTCCAAGGCATATTTCTAGCTGAAGTGAAGGTACCAACCAACGCTTGTGCAGCCATGCAAACAAATTACCTCAGGGAATGGATCTGGCTGAAAATTAACCCAGTAAAATAAATTCTTTTTGCAGCAGGATCAATTCTCTGATCCAACTTTCTATATAACCACAATCAGCACAAATGCCAGTAGTAGACGGTAGGGAAGAACACAGAGTCAGGAGTGGGAAGGAGGGATAGTTAAGTTTCACCATCTGCATGGTTAATGTGTTCCAGACAAAGCCATGTGTTGCCTGGTTGGATACTGAAGACCTACATCATATAGGTACCAAACCATTTAACATTCAAAATTGTAATTAGTTATGTCAATTAACCAAATAATTAACCAAATAAGCAAATGAAGTGATTGATGCCAAGTACAGGACAAAATCTACAAACTTCTATCTGAGAAGCTTAGGTTGCCACACGTCAGCCTGCCTATGGCTTCCATTTGTAAATATATCTCAAGGACGATTTATCTGTTCCCAGAAGATAAATGGATCCAGGCACTCCCTTACTCTACTCCCTCCCTCAGGCAATGAAACCCACCATACTTAATCATCCAGTAAGACCTTCCAACCCTGATTAGCTGCTTCTTTACAAGTGCCTGTGTTTCTGAAGGTATGCATGTGTAAAGCTACTTACTTCCCGATGCTGTTTTGCTGTGTAAAGACCTAACCTCAAGGGGATACTCAAAGATGCCTGTCCTGATTATCCCATCCAATCTGAAGCACATCTAGAGGATCAGGCCCCACAGAATAAGCAGACATGGACAAGACTTCTGAAAGTTGGTAGCTAGTATGCATATGCATTGCATATATGATTACACTCAGAATCCCAGAATTCAGAGCACCTGGCTGCAGTAGCAGCGACCGTTTCCTCTCCATTAATGCTTAAGATGTAGCTTTTACATTAATCTGGATTTATAAAAATAGCAGTACAAAAACCTTCTGAATCTGTTACAGTGAAAAATAATTTAATGGCTTCAGTAGGACTAGTCATAATAGTATTTGAGACAGCAAATCAGGAGTGCAATCTGGGACATAACCTGCACGTTACTATCAGATAATTCAAGTAAGCACTATACAGTTGTTCATGTTCAGATGTTATTACGACTTTCAAAGTGTAAGTCATGATATATTTTTCCTCTCTTCAGGTGTAATCCTCGGATTTTCTCTCCGATCATATAAGATGAGCTATCGAGAAGTCAAGTACTTTTCATTTCCAGGAGAACTACTCATGAGAATGCTGCAAATGCTGGTCCTGCCACTAATTGTATCCAGTTTAGTCACAGGTAAATAAATAAATAAATAAATAAAATAGAAAGTTTTGTTTTGTTTTTAATAAGTTTATAAAGATGCACACTAAATGTTTTTTTTAAAAATGAACATTCCATGTCCTATAACTGTTATAACCTGCCGAAAGAGGCACCTTTGCTATTGCTTTTAAACAATGTAACAAGAGGTTTGAATTAATATAAAAAGAAACTAAAAGCTGCTTTTCCCAATTCCAAGGCAATCTAACTGCACACCTTACTATATGTAGTTGCTATGAAGCTGTGTACTCCACTTTCTTGTTACTTTCTGAACAGATATTTCCTCCACTGTGTCCTATTGTTATCAAAGATAATGTATCTCAGAAAAATAGTTCCAAGATCCAAGAAAGTTTAAACCATTGATGATGGCCAATAACCCATGCCTATAAACCCAGATCTGTAAAGCATCAGTGCGCCTCCTAATTTTTAGAAATGGATTAGAAAAATTAGGTGGTAGATGGCATAGATTGAATAGTCTGGAAGAAAGTTCATTCCATCAATTCTGGTTTCCTGTCTTCTGGTCAGCAACTCTATTAAGCTTCAAGCCCTCTTTACCAAGTTGTTCTCTGGGCTAAAGTTATAACAATTTTTTATGATGATGTATGCCTTGTTATTCCATCTAAGTTTCACAGAAGAGCTCTCAGATTTGTTACGAATGTTCAGGATGTACCTGTGGTTAATTTATCTTATTAATTTTCTGAGGAAAAGAAAGCATGGACTTTATCTATCAGCAAATCAATGGTAAGGTTTGGAGAATTTAATCAAAACTGTCCATGGTGCAGTCCTAGGATCTAAACACCTAATACACTACTTTAATAGTCAGAGGATCCAGATACAATAAGCTGTTCTCTATTTCTTTGATTTTCAAATATTTTAATATTAAGATCTCCTCTAACAAATGCAAATGAGCATAGATTCCATCTTCACAGATACCAAAGATCCTAAGTAATTATATAAACTGTTAAAACAACAGCAGAAAACTAGGCTATTCAGTTACAAAATCATTTGCGTTCACATATTTCAGAAAGTAAAGCTTGTTTCTGTACACACACATTATATGGATACTGAAAGCTTAATGAACACTGAAACTAGAGAGAAATTTTAAATATTGTAGGGAAGCAGTGACAGGTTTTATTACCAACCAGTGTGTAATTCTGCTACATGTCATATAGCCTTGCTGTCTTATTGTCCCTTTCACCTGCAGAACTCCCCAGGTTGGCTGGACACTGATAGAAGAACTGTTTAAAGTAGAAAAGGAGAGACTTTTAGCTTTTTTCAGTGTTGGCTGAGATTGGCATGGCTGCTTTATTTTGCAGGATGAATTATTTCAGGAGAATTTATCTGCTCAGTTTCTTCTAACTCTTCATCCATATTGGTTCTCTGAGACAGCTCAAGGTAAAATAGGAAATTAGGTATTTGAATTCCTATACAAGTATTTGAATTCATTCTCAAAATTCTAAGTATGAACACTTTGTTCAGGTAAAGATCAGCAAAGCCACTCCAGAAAGTCACAAGCATCACAAGGAGCTGGACTTGTGATAAACAATCTCATTTGCTATATCACTAGTTCCCAATAGAGATTTTCTGATATACCAGAAAAATTAGTTTCCAACTAATTCTATTCCAGAAAGAATCTTCAATCTCTGGATTCAAACAATACTATTCTTTTTGATTACTTTTTTTTTTTTTTAATATAAATTCTTTGGAGTCCTTTATCCTTTTTTATTTTAACAATCATTTCCTTTATTATATAGAGGTTTTGGGCAAAGAGAAACCTTAGCTATCTACAAGATTTGTCTTATTATCATACAAGTACCTTACAATATTAAGTGGATTATTCTTAGCGTTTTCCTTTGAAGTAGAGATGGTAATTTTCAAGGTGAATAGCAACATTTTAAACTTCTTTAGTCAGGCAGAGAACAATCGGAGAAAACTCAGTGCAATTCAGAAATCATAGATATCATTATTTTTAAAAAACTGTTAAGTACAACAGGACTGTGTCTTTTTTCAAGGGATTAAAAGACATTTCCCAGTTTATTGCTGAAAACTGAGAAAACTTATCTACACTGAACAGTACCTCATTTAGCATACAAATAGTTGTTTGTTTTTTTTTTTTAAATTATCTTACATATTTGCTGCAAAACTCTCACACTGAAGTAAATGTACAGGTATTATTGAATATCTAGATAATAATGAACTATAAGCTTTACAGGTGTACTATTGTGAAATTTTATAGATGTTATTCACTTATTTTTTTTTTCTACACATTATAGGATAATTTGTTGAATACAAGTCTTATGCTTCTCCAGTCAGTCTTAAGACCACTCTTGGCATCCACAAGCCAAATCTCTTATTTCCTGTATTTTGTTTGAGAAAGCAAATTGGATGCCTCTTAACTAACAACAAAAAGATTCCTACAGGGTCTTGCATGCAGATAATATAATTGCTTCTTCCAATTATAAATGATCTGAATGAATATTTTTGCTGTTTGCAGGCCTGACAGTGTATCCCAGATATGATGTTCTGGGTTTCCATTTGTGTCTATGCAAGTTTGCTCAATATAACTGGTTATGACAATATCAGAACATATGGACTCTGAGGTATTAGAAATAGTCTGGGGATGATTACATTCCTTCGCAAATTTTGTGAATGTCAAAGAAATTGGAACAATAAAACCAAAGAAATAATTATAGAAGCTATGGGCTGTTACGTAAGTAAAAGATAAATTGAGAAAGTGAATAATTCTGCTATACAGTCAAACAGTTCTGATGGTTATTCACAGACTCTTGGGAAAATAAACTGTAACAGGTGAGATCAATGCAGTCACATTTTTATATAGCTGTTTTGGTACTTTCATGAAAGAAACAATGCAGAATCACACTCATGTTTGCCTTATGACTTACCATTATTGCACGTGTCTCAGACAGGTATCCAGTTTTCTCCATGAGATTCTGTCCTCTGATATGTATGTTACTAGACATGTACTAACATCTGCTTGGGAGAAAATAGAGGTTAGCTGCATAACTTTCACCAACTTTAACCATTTACAGGAAAATACGATTATATGAATATCTGTATTCTTCATCTTTTCTGGTTTAGACACAAGCCCAACTTCATACTCTATGCTGGTCTTTATTCTCTAGGCTTTCAAATGAGAGAACTCCTAAGTCAGCATTCCCAGTAAGTAACCCTTACAAAGTCAGAGGCAAAATTAAAGCACAGCACTTGGGAAGCAGCATAAATAAACAAAGAAATAGATTAATTTCCCATTTGGATTATTTTATGGCCAAATCTGACCTGAATTCTTATACAAACACACGGTTGACAATTTTGCTTCATTTCTGTTTTGAATTTGTTGCAGTTATAGGACTTCAAAATGTTTTATACCTTCTTATTTCATTATAACTCAAAGTGCTTGATATATTTATTTTAAAATCTGCATTGACCATAAAAGATATATAAAATAAGTATGTATGCATATGATAGCAATTCAACTCATCATGAAATAGGCAAAGATTATAAGATTTACACCAGCATTAAAAACACAATGTATTAACATTTTTTGAGCTGTTACAGCAAGATCATAATGAAATTAATATTCCAGCCCTTAAAAGTGGCCCACAAGTTTTATCTGGCTGTTTCAGTATTCACTGAGTATAAGGGCATCAGAGGAGGTATGTTTCCCTAACCAACTTATATATTTCCTGAAATCACGATCATGAAAACTATTTATGACCAGTCTTTATAAAAAGCATAGCTGAAGAATAACATTTGTAACATATATTAAAGCTAGAGAAATTTTATAAGGGTTATTTTCAAATACTTTGCACAATTCTGGTCATAGCTCAGATTCACAGACAGACTGCTTCTCCTTCCCAAAATTTTGGAAGTTTGGAATTCAGTTGTACAGGGACCACTGCTTTTAAATGCAAGTAAACTAAGATTAAATTCTGTGCATTTATTTCAAATATCTTTATCTGGTAAAGTATAGCAAAGCATAAAAAGCCCAGTCAAGATCTGAGACTAATTTTTGCTGCATATTGCAGAAATTGTAAGAAAATACTTTATTTGCTAGCATAAATCAAGCTGGGGAAAGAGAATGTAGAATCAGTGAAACAGGGAGGTCCGCTGTCCTGCCAAAGATACAGCAGGTCAGCAATAATAGAATCAAGCAAAGATCCCAATCATGAATGCCAGTACAATGCACTGTGCATTAGATGATAATTCTTGTCCAAATTGTTCATGGGAATAACACTACTATGGTACAAATTAATCTTAATCACATACCAGGATTATATGTGCAAGATTCTGTACAAACACAAAAACTGTGATTCTTCTTACACAAAAGATGGTTGTATAGTTAAGCAGCTTAGAAGACTGAGTATGGAAGGTTTACCTCAAAGAAGAAAAATATCTTACTATGTAGTTTGTAGTGTGTCTTTGTTTATATTCACTCCCCTTTCTAATTCAAATAATATCATTACTATCTTCCATGGATTCTGGAAGATACAAAAACTTCCCTGCCTCTGATGTAGCCTTTCACTAACAAACTGCAAAATTGACAATTGCAGGAAACACAAGTGACTTTCCTTTGAGCAGACTCAGAGACACAAGGTTTTGTCCCCAGGCTTTTCCAACGTGTTCATAGTATTTACCACTACAGAAACTACAGAAGGTGTTGACAAAGTGCAGAAAGATGGAATTTCCATGTGTGGATGCCTCTTAACTAGCCTCAGATGTACATATGATGCTTTTGATTTCAGCTATTAAAAGTGTGCAATGAATGGTGACCATGTTAAAAACAAGTAGTAAGGAACATGGTCTATTCTCTTATTCAGACAAAACCAAAGGCACACAAAGTAACTCATGTAATAAAACAAAACACAAGCAGACATCACAGTTAACAGCCAAACTGCAGATGGAATTGCTTGAAATTACCTATAATGAAACAAGGATAATATTCAAAGAAACAACTGAAG